TCTCCCGGCTTAACGTGTTCATGTTGGTAATCTCTATCAGCGGCACATAGAATTTTGTTCCCATATTCCTGTAGTGCTTTTTGTACCTGTCCTAGCTTAATGGCATAAGACAATAGCTGGAGGGTTTCCTCATGTATTAGGGGGTCCGATCTGAGAAAGGGACTGCCAGAGGTGATTTTGTCACCGATTGGGGTTACCAGCTGGGACCTCGGTTCTTTTTGTTGTCGCAGAAAAGATGTTAAGGTCAACAAAAATGAAAATAAAGCACTTTAAGTGGGATTTATTGACGATACACTCCAAGCCAAGAGTGGGCCAACTGAGAGAGACAATGGCCCCAACTTCCTGGGTTATATGGTTTAAACCAAAAAGATGTTACTGGGGAGAGGAGACCTTGGTTCTTGTCTTCTTGAGGGAAAGATTTCAAAGAGACAAAGTGTAGAAAAGCAAGAATAGATTGGCTGCAGCAAAAGTATACTTAGGAGAGTGAAACAAGGTGGGGAGAGGAGACCTTGGTTCTTGTCTTCTTGAGGGAAAGATTTCAAAGAGACAAAGTGTAGAAAAGCAAGCAAGAATATATTGGCCACAGCAAAAATATACTTAGGAGAGTGAAACAAGGGAGGGCGTAGGAGAGCCTGGGCGGGGCTGCCTCGGCTCACTAGGAAGTCAGATAATGGGGGGCCTTGGAGACAGGTTCGGGGTGTAAGCCCGGGAGGAGCTGACACTGCCCATTGCGTCCTGGGTTGCAAATCTCATGGGGCCCCTTCGAGGTTAGGGGATACCTGGTGAGAGAAGGGGAAAAAGGAGAGGGGAAAGTTGAGCATGGCTCCCTGTGGGAGCGCACTGACCACCAGGGGGCAGCTCCCTCGTTGAGCATCTGCCTCCTGGTGGTCAGTGCGCATCATAGCAACCAGTCATTCCGATGTTCAGTCGATTTGCATATTAGCCTTTTATTATATAGGATAACAAGTGCAAAAGGGCTAACTTGCGATTTTTCTTTAGGTCCAGCTCTCATTCGCAGGAGGCCTACGGGTAACATAGACACCCAGGTTCATAGACACCCTGAGGTTCTTGGCATAGCTTGGCTAGAGTCCCTTTTAGGGTTTGGTTAGCTCTTTGTACCTTATCTGAGGATTAAGGTCTCCATAATCAGTGTAAGTGATAGTTGATTCCTAAAGCTTGAGCCAGCCATTGTGTGATCTTAGCTACAAAAGAGGGTCCATTGTCACTCTGTAAGCTTTTTGGTAGTCCAAACCTGGGTAAGATTTCTTTTAGTAGCTATTTCTGTTCTGGTAGGAAAGGCTTCAATCCATCCGGTAAAGGTGTCTGCAAATACTAGCAATTATTTAAATCTAGCTTTGGGGGACATAGGAATGAAATCAGTTTGCCAATCCGCCCAGGGCATGTGTCCCAGTGTTGTATTGGGGTCAGGAGGTGATGGGGGGTGACCCATTCTTTACAGTTTCACGAAGCCCTTGGATCACAAACAGTTGGGAGACAAGGGTGGTGTTAACATAAAAACATTCAAACCTGTAAAGAATTTTTGTGAGTTTATTTGAGCCAAACTGTCGACAATTGCCGGGAAGCAGAATCTCAATGGGCTGGGATAATGTTCCAGAGAATGACGGGTTTTCATCTATTTTTATCCATTGCAATCAAAGGAGGGGACATAGGTGGGTTACATAAAATCCATTGGTGATAGATTAGAGGGGGAGGGGGACAAAGAAGGGGAACCCCTGGGATTGGATAAAAAGTAAAATGATAGACACATACTTAGGTGGGTGCAGGGTAGCCAACAGTCAACAGTTAACGTGGTAACAATAACAATGAAGGAATTTGTGGTGTTTGTCCTCATGCCCAGGCGCATTAGGTTGTGCCCCAAGGGGTCCGGAAAAAGGGAAGTTACAACTTACCCAGACATTTCAAGGATATGTTATCATAGATGCAAAAAGACAGATAGGCTCAGTTAAGGTGAAGATTGGCCTTGTCAGTGAAGATACGGGCCCAGGAGGTGACTGCCCACCATCACTGCTTTTAGTCAAAGTTTAATGTCAGACCATCCTTTGTGGTTACGTCAGGTCTCTGAGTTTGCAAGCCCGCCACGCAGGCCGCCCCTGAGCTTGTCAGGTCAATCTTTACCTTAACTGTCATTGAAATGTCAGGGTAAAGTGTAACTTCCCCTTTTTTTCCTGGACCCCTCAGGGCACAACCGAATGCCCTGGGCGCCAGGACAGAGATGATAGATTTCTTCATTGTTATTATTATTATCATGTTAATTATTGGCTGTTAACTATCCTGCACCCACCTAAGTAAAAGAAGTATGTGTCTGTCATTCTACTCTTTACCCAATCCCAGAGGTTTCCAGCTTTGCTTTCTCCCGCCTCTTTATTCTAATACCAATGGATTTCATGTAACCACCTACATCTCCTCCTTTGATTGCAATGTATAAAAATAGGCGAAAAGTCGCCATTCTCCGGAGCATTACCCCGATCTGTTGAGATTCTGCTTCCGGGCAATTGTCGACAGTTTGGCTCAAATAAACTCACAAACATTCTTTACAGGTTTGAATGTTTTTACATTAACAGCGGTGTAGCAATTAGCCCCAAATCTGGTGTCCGCAGGCGGCAGAAGCCAGCTATTCCTGAATATCCCTGAAGCTGTCATTACTGTATGGGACCCGGGGAGCCACTATGGCCTGTTTTGTTTGGGGAGCCAGGGTATGGGCTCCTGGGGTAAGTAAATATCCTAAGGCCGTGGTCGGCAAACCGTGGCTCGAGAGCCACATGCGACTCTTTGGCCCCTTCACTGTGGCTCTTCCACAAAATACCACGTGCGAGCGCACACGTACAGTGCGATTGAAACTTCGTGGCCCATGCGCAGAAGTCGGTATTTTGTGGAAGAGCCACACTCAAAGGGCCAAAGAGCCGCATGTGGCTCGTGAGCCGCGGTTAGCTGAGCCGCAGTTTGCCGACCACTGGCCTAGCAGCTTCAGGGGGTTTTGTTTGTTTTAATGCCAGTGTTCCCCCTTCACACAGAGGTGAGGCAGTTGCTACTGCTGTTCCCACAACCTGCACAGGCCTTGGCGGGGTGTTAATTCCCCTATTGTTCTGAGGCCATACCACCCGCAACCACTCTCCAGCCTCCAGGAGGAGGACTTAGGGTGTTTAAGGGCTCATTTTTTTTCCCTTCAATTACCTTAGTCTTGTTTACATTTCTTTTTTTTCTTTTAATTCTCACTCAAGGAAGGAGGATATTTTTCCCATTTTTTTTTTTTTTTTTAGAGAGCGTGGAAGGGGGGCTCGGGGGGAGAAGCAGCTCTATGAGAAAAACACATCAATTGGTTGCCATCTGCTTGTGCCCCACTGGACCTCGGGATTGAACCTGCAACCAAGGTCTGTGACCTTGACCGGGAATTGAACCCCCGTCCCCCCCACTCCCACACGCACTTTAGCCACAGAGTGAAACCTCCAGGCCTTGTTTACATTTCTAATGACCAAGTAGGAAGACTTGTTGAGACTGTCAATGAAATCTGTGAGGGAGCTGTAGAAACAAAGAAAATCTTGACCACAAGATAAGGAATTCAAATACAGTGTCCCACAGAGTGGTTTAAACAGGAGGAAGAGAAACCCGGTGATAGGAGATATGGCACATGACACGAATGACGCTGTTAAAACTGGTGTAATAAATGACCAGGATTTACATAATACTAGAGGCCCGGTGCACGAATTTGGGGTCACTTGTACCCTTGACCAGAATTGAACCAGGACCCTTCAGTACCCAGGCCGACGCTCTATCCACTGAGCCGAACTGGCTACAGCTGATGAGGCAAGTTTTGATGAAGGATTTACTCCACAGCTGATAGGTAGGTTTCCCCCACAGCAATGATGAGAAGTGACAAAAAAGATGAATGAGAGCCTGGCCATCATGGCTCAGTGGTTGAGCACTGACCCACTAATCAAGAGTTTGCTGGTTTGATTCCCAGTCAGGGTACATGCCTGGGTTTCGGGCTTGATCCCCAGGAGGGGGTGTGCAGGAGGCAGCTGATGGATGCTCTCATCAATATTTATATATATATATATATATGACTGACTTCAAAGAGGAAGGGAGAGGGAGAGATAGAAACATCAATGATTGGAGAGAATCACTGATCAGCTGCCTCCTGCATGCAACTGGGAATCAAACCTGGACCTCCTGGTTCATAGGTCGATGCTCAACCACTGAGCCACGCTGGCAGGTCTCTCATCGATGTTCCTATCTCTCTACCCCTCTCCCTTCCTCTCTCTCTAAAAAATCAATAAAAATATATTTTTTAAAAATACATATTAAAAAACAATAACTTTGTTCCCCCTATTGGCTCCAGAATGTACCAGATGGGGTCTGGGCCTGGAGTGGTGTGTCTAGAGCCCCCAGCTAGTGTCTAGGGCCCCAGTTCTTGACTTTAGGTAGGAAAGATTCCACAATATGAGGTGATTTTGAGAGTATGTATATTAAAGCTGGGGACAGTGAAACAAAGGCTTAAGGTAGAGGAAGCAGCAGGAGAAAGACAGAGAACACAGGGCCCTTGGAGACAGGTTCAGGGGGTGAGCCCAGGGCGAGCCCAGTGCTGCTGCCCACTGCTCCCCTTCTTGCAAGTCTCATGGGGCCCCTTAGAGCTTAGGAGGAAAACTGCAAAGATACAAAGTGCAGCTTGCTCTAGCAGAGGGGCCTTGTCTCCTTTGTCTTGAGTCTTTTTATTTTATTTTATTTTTTATTTTTCTTGGAATCCTGGGGGAGGCCTCAGGGAAGGGTCTCAACAGAATATTCCTTAGCTTTGTGTCCTTCAATATGTTGATTTACCAAAATGTATGTATACAGAGGCCAGGGTAATTTTCTGGTTAGTTTTATTTATTTATTTTAAAAATGTTGTTATTGATCTTTAGGGAGAGAGTAAGGGAGACAGATAGAAATATTGATGAGAGCCTAACCGGTTTGGCTCAGTGGATAGAGCGTCAGCCTGTGAACTCAAGGGTCCCAGGTTCGATTCTGGTCAAGAGCATGTACCTTGGTTGCGGGCACATCCCCAGTGGGGGGTGTGCAGGAGGCAGCTGATTGATGTTTCTCTCTCATCGATGTTTCTAACTCTCTATCCCTCTCCCTTCTTCTCTGTAAAAATCAATAAAATATATTAAAAAAAAAGAAATATTGATGAGAGAGAAACATCATTGATCTGCTGCCTCCCGCACGCTCCCTACTGGGGATTGAGCCAGCAACCTGGGCATGTGCCCTGACAGGGAGCCGAACCAGCGACCTCTTGGTTCATAAGTCACTCGCAAACACTGAGCCACACCAGCTGGGCTGGTTAGTTTTAATTTTAAAGAACATTCTTGAAGAGGGGGACAGGGACCCAGGCCGTTCTGTCCTGAGACGGTCTGAACTGTGCAAACCATTTGCTCCCAAGTGTCCTTGGTTAGGGAAAAAAAAAACCACCACCTGGTGATTCATTAGCTGATTATAAGCTGTTCAAATCTTTGGCCTTGTCTAATTATTTTGTCTGTTTCCCTTACGCCATTTGTCAAGGAATTTCCCTAACTTCGTACTGACCTGCCTCAAGATAACATAGGCCAGCTGGGCCCCCTCACCGTCTCCCCCCACATCCCATGCCCCCAGGTTCTCCGGGACTGTGAAATGCGCGCTCCGCCCCGGGGCTGGCTGGCAGCGCACATGGGCACGGCGGGCCGAGACGAGCAGTAGAATGCGGCTCCTGTCCCCTGGGGTGGAAGGAACATTCCCAGGGTGTGTGTCAACTACCCAAACCCTGGGGACCGAGCCCCTGTTCTCACCGCTGACGCCCCCAGTGCAATACGCAGGCCGAGAGGGTCGGACCCCCCGCACCCTGTCCTAGGCCACCCGAGCACCTGGGCTGGGGCCACCCAAGACAAGAGCAGGAGCGCTCTCCTATGCAGGGTGCATACAGCGCACCCCAGCGCCTGCCACAGTCGGGGCGGCGGCTTCTGGGACATCACTGCTGACCCAGCTCTCGTCTTGGGCGGGAGCCTGGCGCACGGTCTGGGTGCCCCTGGGCTCACCTGGCCTCGGGGCAGCGGGGGGGGCCG